TGTGGGCAGACTCACAAGAGAGCTAAGTGCCTTCGGTCAGGAGGCTTACTGACAGACTAGGGTGCTTCTAGGCACTTACCGGCAGAGCTAAAAACAACAAACCAAACTCACTGCCCTCGAGTTGGATTCGACTCACAGAGACCCCTCCTTTGGTTTCCGAGGCACTATCACTATGGAAGTAGACTGCCCGATCTTCCTTCTGAGCTAAAGAGCTCTGTAATATTTGCCCAAGCAGGGACCACACAGCCTTGAAGCCAAAGGCTAGAGAGAGGCGTGCCTGTGGGCACTGTTAAGAAAAGGCTGTCCTCATCCAAGAACTGTATCCTATGTTGTTTCTGATCCTGAATTATAACCTGTTACTTCCCTAATAAACCCCATAATCATTGAGTATTGTCTGTGAGTTCTGTGTGGCTACTACAACAAGTTATTAAACCCAGCAAAGAAGAAGTGTGCTTTAAGAAGGACTGTTGGTGTCAGAATTGCTACCAATTCTATAGGTGGGAGGGTGGAGGCATGTCTGACCTCTTCCTCATAGGAATCAGCGCTTGGCTGATTTTGATTCTCCTTCCCCCTGGTGAAGTTAGAGGAGGTCATCAGACACTGCCCCCATGCCATTTTTACAGTTCAAAGTGTTTCTAATTTGATAACAAAATCATAAAATTTTACAGAAGAAGAAACAAGAAGTATCTATTCTGCTCACCACTGTATGTCCAGTACTGAGCTCAGGCCTTGCATAAAATAAGACATTCAATAAACACTTGCTGAATTTTGAAGTAGTTAAAATGAGATATGAATTATGTGAAATCTTTTCCACAGCCTAGGAGAAACCTAAAGAACTATTATAATTTACTCTGAGAAAGTGTAACAGATAAAGAAATTACACTTGAAAGTCTACTAGGTATCAAGTATTTTATCAGTTCTCATTTAGAACACAGCTCAAAATCAATGCCTCTATTATTTTCATTTCTAAATATTTGCTATCTGAATTAAGCTATAGTGATTTTTTCCATTCATATATGAAAAAATTGGCAACAGAATACTAGTCTAACTCAATCATTACATATTGATTACTATCCTCACACATATTTTTGTCTTTGATAATGGCTTTTAACTTCCTAAAGTTTCTACTTGGGACACTTACTGACTCATAATAACTTTAGCTATAAAAAACAAAGTCTGGCAATTACAGTAATCATCTGTCACCATAGCTTCACCTTTCTTTTCTGAAGTTTTCCTATTAGTCTGACATTTATCAGTGTTTCTCTCACAAAAGCACAATGCAGAAAACTTCAGATTCTTGAACTGAGTAACTTAAATCTAGATTTTTAAAAAAAGAATCAAATTTAAACTCATTAAGGCCACCAACTCCCTGGAGAAGGCATCATGTTTGGTAAAGGGTCAGCAAAAAAGAGGAAGACCCTCAAGGAGATGGATTGGCAGTGCCTGCCTGAAACAATGAGCTCAAACACTGCAACAATTTTGAGGATGCAAGTGTTTCATTCTATTATACACAGAGCCATTAATGGTCAAAACCAACAAGTTCACCAAATACAAAAATTGAAATGCAATCACAGAAACATCATAAATTTAAAGATTATGATTTATCACTTGAGAAAATGAAGCAAATGCCATCACATTTTATTTTGAAATACATCTTATGACTATAGGCTCATTTCACTGTACATAAAGTTATGCTGCAGAAAAACCTGACCTACCAAGGAAACAGCCAAAAAGAGTCTTCTGTTGCAATATAATAAATTTGAACTAGACTGTCTTTTTAAAAAAAAAAAAAGTTGTCAGTAAAGACTTTAAAGGGAGGTGATGGACTCATCTTCTCTGGAAGCTTACAAAGAAAAGATTTTCAAATGTCTAGGATGGCTTTAACTTGGCCACAAATTGGGAGACTGAAACAGAATCAGTTCAAAGTCAAGAATATTAACAAATTAAATCTGGTCCTTTTCTACTGATCAAATTCTGGCAATATTAATCAAGAAAAACCAGGGCTTGAAACCAGTTCTGCCTGTTTCAGAGGTGACAGATGAAGCAAAACCTGAACGGACCCAAATTTGTAAAATGTGGGTGTACCAAATGATCGCTGGAACAGGGCAAATGCAGGTCTGTACCTTGCTTGAAACTTAATCTCCCTTTCAGAAAATAAAGGCAGTGCATGATTAAATAACAACCAAATCTTTTAAACAACAGAGTCAGATACATCACTGCCCAACTCAAAAATGACAGCCAACCACGCCACTTTGAATGTGTGCCACTCTTCACAGTCCTGGCAATAATCCAATCTTCCTCATCAGGCTCCTGTCAGGAGCCTCCTGAAAGGACTCATTACACCTCTTCCAAGTCTCCTATTACAGAGCTCTGACGTGTAATTTCTCCCATCTGTTGTTATCTAGAACATCCACATTTTAACATCACAAATTCGGTCTATTCTGATTTTGTTGCATCAGCCATTACTGAACTGGTTTGAAGCCCTGGTTCAAAGGTCAGTCTGACCCAAGGGATTCAAATCCAGTCTGCCAGTCACACAAACAAGTCATTAGCAAACTGGATCCTTCTGAGCTTCAGCTATCCATTTCCCTTTTTTGGTACTCCCCAGCCTTACCCTTCAAATTACCCTAAATGCTAACTAACATGTCAGTTGTAGAAAATTATTTCTTCCAACTACTCCAACTTTGCTCCTCAGTAGTGTTCTACAGTCTTTTAATCCTGTTTCTTACTAGGTAGCAAAGTATTTTGTGATGCAATCAATATCTGCCCTATTACCAATGCCCTGTACTACTGTTCTTTCCAAACATGGTGATTTCAGAAACAGTGATAGGAAAATAACAGGTAACAGAGAAATTAGAGCTCTTAGGTTTAACTTATGGTCAAAATCAAAAAAGAAGAGACAATTCAGAGAGAGGAAGCAAGAAGCTGAGAGGGTCTTAGTGTAGAACACTTACTTTTAGGAACAGAGTGTCCCTTAGACTTCTGGTGAGTTGCCCAGAGCCTCTTCAGTTTCAATCCAAATGACAATGCTTCTCTGAGTCCTCCTCAAGTAATGATTCCACCACTAAAAATTGGATCTACAAGAGCTCAGAAGTACTGGTAAAAATGTCAGGGGCCCCCATGTGGGCCTCAAGCCTCTTTTAAAGTAGGCCCACTTCTCTGTCCTGGGCCAACTCCCCTGTGCACTATATTCCTTCTTCTTCCAGGTGCCAGGTATGCGGCCTGTTTCTTCTCTTCTGAGCTGTCACCACCTACTCTATTTCTCAGGGTTCCTCTAACCCCAAGACTGGCTGTGGAAGAGGACACCAGCTTCCCCCCTTCCTTGCTGTCCCTGCAAATAAACATATAGGCTCTTCTAGTTTCAGTATGTTTCTAATGGCTATAAGAAAATAGAGAAGGAACAACAAAAAAGCAACAATATAGTACTAGAGATTAAGATAATAATAATTGTCTCCACTTTAAAGTTCCTGCCTCCAAAAAATACAAATTTTCTAAAATTTTGCTTGAGTATTTTAAAAAGTATAAAGTACTAGCATAGATATACAACTGTACCCTAAATCAAATCCAAGCTAATATAGACAAAAAATATAAGAATACTCTGCTTTTCAAAATCCTACTTACATCACGGGTCCAAAAATAGTTTATTCAACAGATTTATTTTAGCATATAGGTACTTTTTTCTTTTTATAATCTTTCGATGTTTTATTCCCTTTAATATAACAGATGTTCAAACACTTGATTTTTAAAGAATACGAAAAATGTTAAATATATTTTACCCAATGTAAATGGGAATTAATATATAAAAAACATTATGATTTACAAAAAGACATCAAAAAGAGCTAGTTTCACTAAGAAAATCTTAGAATTTTTACTACTGTCAATTATTAATGCCTCTACGTTAATATTTTTTAGTAAAACCTTATAAATAGAGTTCAAAAATCAGGGTATCTCATTCTCAGAAATCTAACACCCACACAATATTTAAATCTAACATCAATTATTATGCCTTTATTTATGTTTTTTAAACAGTAGACAGGCATCAGTAGTCTTATACTCATATTTTGATAAATATGGTGCTAACAGATTTTGTAAAATCCAATTTTATGAACTTTCTAAACATTAAGCTATAAATCAGAAGATTATAATGAACTAATCAAAGGCTACGCTCCTGTACAGGCAAAGCAACTCCATAACTAAGTGCTGGCAGATCAAAAATGTCACTGACTTTGAATTTCCAGGATGATTATCTTGAGCCAGTTAATTGATTTAAACGGTTTTTTAAAAGACAAAACTATTACACTGTAGCCTACAATAAGATAAAATTAAAACTGAAAACAGGCAGAGATCATGTTATCTCATTTGTATAGTCTAATTGACTGCCATTTAATCAAACTAAAGGGATTTAGACACTTTCAGTAAAAAAAAATATGTTCCTACTGAGTGGGCTCACCTCCAACTATTTATTTATAAAATACTGGAAGAATCTGTATAAAAATACTGAACAAAACCTTGCCTAATCCTATCAGACATGCATATTTTTTAAAAAAGTTTAACCCGTGTATTCTACAATCATACTTTTTTTGGGGGGGCGAGAAGAAATTAAATTACATCCTTTGCTCCTAAAGAGGATTTCATAGGTTTTCCCGGAACCCCACACACTTAATACAGAAATGCAGCCAACATTATTATATCGGGGGGAGGGGGGCGTCCATTACACTCAGCAATACGAATTAAATCGCGGTAGCTGATGCCTCTCTTAAATAATTCATTCTCTCTTGGCAGCAAAAACTGCTACAGCCTCTTCAATTACCCCTCACCGCAAATCATCGTTTGGGTCGCGATCAATCTGACCCAACTGCAATCGTGGCCACCACCTCAGTTTCACCTCTTCCCGCTTGGGTCTGCGAGTGCCATGGGAAGGGCCGGCCGCCGCAGGGGCGTCCTCCGCGCCGCGAGCCGACCCGGCCGGCCGCGGCGCGCGGGGCAGGCCCGGGACTCACCGTGTGGAAGTGCCCTTCCGCACATCGCACATCATGCACTTGAAGGCCTCGGCGCTGTTCCGGAAGGTGCAGACGCTACAGTCCCAGTAACCCTCATCAGAGGACGGCTTCGGCTGCCGCTTCGGCCTGCAGGACACAACCCAGACACGATGCGGCGCGGGGTCACCAAGAGGCCGCGCCTGGGCACAGAAGCTGCCCCCGCCCAGCCCTCCACCCCAATTCCACGACCTCCGCCCCGCAGGCCCCCAGCGCGCAGCGCTCCGGCTTGGAGGGGGAGGGGAGTCAGCGGGAAGATGGGCAAGAGCGCGGTTGCAGTCGCCGCTACAGCCGCTCTAACACTGGAGACTGTCGCTGTGGCCGCCGCCGCCGCCGCCGCCATCGCGACTCCATTGTGGGGTAGCCGGCTCCGGCCCCTCACGCGGCAACACTCGCGCAGCAGCGGCGCCGCCCCCGTTCTCGCCCCAGTGCCCGGGCAGCGAGAGAGGTGGATGGCCCGAAGCTCGGCGCGAGGGCCCCGCCGCTCGCACAGTCAGGACCCTGGGCCGGGCACTGTTACCTGGTGGGGCTCTTCTTGTCTCCCATAGCTTGGCTAGAAATTCACGCTGAGAGTCGCCGCCGAGGCCGCACTGTTTGTCAATAAGGAGGATAATAAGCCGGGCGGAAGCGGGCGGGGGAGGGAGGAGGGAGGGGGCGGGGAAGGCCGCACCGCCAAGCTCGGAGCAGCCGCCGGATCCCACGCAGCCTCCAGCTGTCGGGGAAACTCCTGCCTGGGCGCACGTGACCCACGCCCGCCAACCAGCGGCCGCGCCGGAGACTTCAAACGCAGCCAGCGCGGCCCAGCACCCGCGGCGAATTCCTGGGCGGCCGCCGCTGTTTCTTCTTACAGTTTCCCGCGCTTCCCTGTTACTGGGAGGCGTGTGGCTTGCCGGCGAGCAGAAGGAGCACCCACGCGAAGCCTGGTGCAAGGTGGGGCAGACGTTCGGAGCTGGCCCAACTCGGGACAGGAGAGACCTGGCGAGTCTCCAGGTAGAACGGCTTTCTTGGCCTCGCTGCCCGTATCTACTCAGCACCCGCCCGAAAGCTATCTGAGGGAAGGCGGGAACCAACATTGAGCGCCATTGCGAAGTGTCTAAAACACTGTCTGGTTTAATCCACACAAATGCTCTACTGAATAGGGATTATCACCCTTAATTTAGAGGAAACGAAACCGAGGCTCAAGCGATGAGGTGACTCCTCTACGTTACGTACTAGAAAATGCAAAACCGGGAGCCTGAGCCTGGTTTAAGTCCAAACGTGCCCTTTTGACCTCCGAGGCCTCTGCAGTAGCTGCTTTTAAAAGAAAAACCAGTACTCATAAACCCTTTTTAAAATAACAAGTTTGCAAACTTTATTTCTTGACAAAGCTTGGTAAGTGGAGGGTCAATGAAGAAGGGGAAGGCTCTCAACGAGATGGATAGACACAGGTGCTGCAACGATGGGCTCCAGTATAGCAAGGATCATGAGGCTGGCACAGAACCGGACAGTGTTTCCTTCTGCTGTGCATAGGGTCTCTATGAGTCGGAGATAACTCCAGGGCACCTAACAACAACAACAACAACATTTCTTGACAAAGGTCATTCTCCAGGGTCTCATTACCTCAACGTGTTGGAGGCCCTCATCATCTTTACTACACTGTTATATAGCCATGTAAACTTGTCTCCGAAGCTGCAACCCCATTGCACCAATATATTCAGTAAAGCACAGCCAGATTAATAGTAAAATTGTAAACATTACACCACCACGCTGCCATGAACTACTGAAGGTGACCAGACTCCACCTGGCATTCGAGGCCTTCCACACATTTTCCCAAACTCTGCATTCTACTCCCCAATACAAACGTGGCCCCTGACAAGACTAAAAGAGAAGAAAGTAATTAACTTCCCTGCCAAAACCCTTCTTTCATGCACTAAAGTATTTCCCCCTTCTCTACTATTTCTGCCCATCTTTCTAGGTTCACATCAAAAATGAGTTCCTAAAGAATTCTATCTTATAGATAGAAGGGTCTTAAAGGAAATAGTACAGTCAGAAATACCAGTTTCCAGCCTGGATCTATCAATCCTTAATTGGTAGATCTTGGAAAATTTTGTTTAATTTGTGTAATTCTCAACTTCTTTGTCTGCAAAACGGCGTCCATATTTTATAAGATTGCCATGTGGTTAGTAGTAAATTAATATTTTTAAGAACTACATCCCAAGCACCTTGTAAATCTCTGTACAAAAATGCGTGGTTTAAAGGACTCAAAGTACTATGCAAATGTCACTTCTCATCTAGTCTTAATCTCTTCATTTGAAAGACAAGGAAGTTAGGGCCTAGGTTAAATGGCTTCTCTTTCATGGCCAGGCTTAGAGCTCAGGTGTTCTATTAGTTCACCACTAAGCCATATGTTCTGATTAACCAAATCACCCCAATTTGCAGCAATCTCTGAACTATGAGCACCCTCCGTACTTTTTGCAGCTGTCACTTCTCTCAAGTTCTGATTCAGAAACCATGAGGAATTTGAGGAAAGCATTCAACAGTAGCTTTAAAGACTAATGTCAGGCCTCAGTAAAGCCATGGATAAACTTTTTTAAAGCCACTTTGTTTTTTCCATCAGTAAAATAAAGGAGTTGAAACTATTATCATGACTAAGGCCCCTTCCAACTAGAAGGCACAGTGATGTTTTTATATTCCTCAACAGGATGAATCATAAAGGAGACTGACAAGAACTGGTCTGTTTGTGAAAGTGATGGCAAAACTGTATTTTTAGATTAAAAAAAAAAAAAAAGCACTCTAAAATTCCCAGTGATGTAAATTACCATTTCACTACAATATAAACTTCATCACAGAAAGTAAGCTTAACTTCTTTCTTGGATTGAATCGGGTCCCACAAACCTTGTGTCAACTTGGTTAGGCCCTGATTCTCACTATTACATGATTATTGTCCATTTGTGATCTGATCTAATTTTGCTATGTGTTGTAGATCCTAATTTCTATGATATTAATAATAATAAGGAGTTCTGGTTGCACAGTAGTTAAAGTATTTGACTGCTAAATAAAAAGTCACTGGTTCGAACCCATCTTAATCTTTGGGAGAAATATGGGGCACTCTGCTTCCATAAAGAGTTACAACCTTGTAAACCCTAAGGCAGTTCTATTCTGTCCTATAGGTCACTAAGAGTTGGAATTAAATTGATGGCAGGGGAGATGATGTTAAGGAAACAGGATAAGAGGCAATTATGTTAATGAGACAGGATACAATCTAGAGGATTGGATTGGATTTTGAGGCAACTTCCTCTGAGATCTAAAACGGATTAAATAAGTAAGTAGAGATGGACTTAATGTTGTTGTTGTTGTGTGCCATCAAGTCGGCCCGACTCATAGCGACCCCTCCTTGGGTTGCCGAGGCAGTATCACTACGGAAGTAGATTCCCCAACCTTCCTTCCAAGGAGTGGCTGGTGGATTTACGACCACCAAGAAAAAAGAGCCAGAAGCAGAGTGCATCCCTTGGACTCAGGGTCCATGTACCAAGAATCTCTTAGACCCAAGGGAAGATTAATACCAAGACACATGGACATTTCCAAGGATTACTATGGTCACAGATGTTAAAAGGAGACAAGGACCTTCTTCTAGAGCCAACAGAGAAGGCCTTTTCCAAGAGCCAGCACCCTGAATTCAGACTTCTAGTCTCCTAAACTATATGAAAGAGCTCTGGTGGTGCTATGGTTAAAGCATCGGGCTACTGTTAGAGGTCCAAATCCATTAGCCATTCTATGAGAGAAAGATGAGGCCGTGTGCTTGCATTAAGATTTACAGCCTTGGAAACTCAGGGGCAATTCTACTCTGTCTGGTTGGGTCACTATGAGTCAGAAATCAATTTGATGGCAGTCGGGTTTGTTTTGTTTTGTTTTTTGTGTGTGATTTGGGTGAAGATTTACAGAGCAAATTCACTTTCCACACAGCAGTTCACATATACTTTGTCTCATAACATTGACCACAGTTTACCACGATGCAACAGCTCCCCTCCCACTTCCTCCCAATAGTTACCTCTTCCCAGTGTCCATCCCTCCATGCACTCCTGCCCCCTAAGCTGTCTCCCTGTGCATAAGCAGCCCTTCTTTCTCCCATGATTGTTCTCTCCAAGGAGTGTATCTCCTTGAGGTAAATGTTCAACTCATATGCCT